ACGTATAGTACCATGTAGATTTCCCCATGTTGGTCATCTCAACTCCATCTAATCCAATTGCGTGGATCGATGCTCATGATGTCAATCACTGGATTGTCTGGTCCAGACTGGATTATTTACAGACCGCCGTCATACAGCTGGAATATTGCTGAGTGCGGCGTCAAACAACAAACAAACAAAATTTCTATCAAAATATATATTTTCGGAGACAAAGCGTTAGACTGTCGGCAATGTTTCGTGTGGTTTTAACTAAATTATCGTACAGTTGGAATCGAGGCATGTGACATATGTAGACTTTCAGACTTTAATATAAAGGGAGATTAGGGGTTTAAACATTCACGGGCATCCCTTAATGCCAACACTGACAGAACGTGTGTTGGTCGAATCAAAGTCAGCATCGGATGATTTCGTACATACTCGTATGTATTAGAAACTAGTGGATGGTCAGATAGTATAAAGAATACATACCTACTACATATATTTTACTACTGGCGTAACTGTTATCGTGTCTCATGATTCCAGCCCGCACCTGTGGTCTAGTGGATAGAGTGTCTGCCCGGAGAGCAGAAGGTTGGTGGTTCGATTCCACGTCAGACCAAAAGACGTTAAAAGATGGTACTTGTTGCTTCCCTGCCTGGCGCTCGGCATTAAGGGGATAAAACATGAACTCGGCTGTGGCATGTGGGCTAGAACTATAAATCCGGCATAGGTCTGGACTTGTGCTAGCAGACAGACAGACAGACACACACACACACACACGCAACAGAGACAGACACACACGCACACACACGCAACAGAGAGACAGACACCCACACAGACACACAGTCACACACGCACAGACAGACAGACAGACAAACACGCACACACACGCAACAGACACCCACACAGTCAGACACACACACACACACACACGCAACAGACACCCACACAGACAGACACAGTCACACACGAATAGACAGACAGACATACAGACACACAGAGAGACAGACACACATACAGACACACAAACAGACACACATACAGACAGACAGACACAGACACACACAGAAAGACACACAGACACACACATACAGACAGACACATGAACACAGGCACACACACAGACACATACAGACGCCCAAACAGACACACACATACATACAGACAGACACACATACAGACACAGACACACACATACACACATAGAGTCGTATCGTAGGTAAAGATCAGAAAATATCACCTTTAGAATCTCTATACAAAACAAATTAATAAATTAAAATATATTTAAATATGAAGCGAAAGATAACAAATATACACAAACACGCATATGCTGATGACGTGTAATTTATTTTTAAAATAGCACATGACTCCACCACCCCAAAATATAAAACAGTAATAATTTCTGATTATGTACATTGGTGAATTGTATAAACACGTATGTATAAAATGTACACAGTTAAGTAGCGGTGCAGGCATTTTGCTAAGGATGAAGATGCACATCAATACTTGTGGACATTGCCAATACTACACACAATACGGACGCCCTTCAACCAAAGATACACACAACCATTTTATACAGAGGGATTTTGGTAATCCGGGCTTCGAGGCGTATAATGTAGAAATGATCATGTGAGTACGGTTTTAGTTCGCTTATAGTTCGCTTTGAGTTCGCTTTGAGTTCGCGTTTAGCAATATTCCAGCCGTTTCACACAGGAGGACGCAAGAAATGGGCTTCACACATTGTACCCGTGTGGGAAACGAACCCGGGTCTTTGGCGTGACGAACTGCGCTTTAACGATTGGGCTACCTCATAGCTCCAAGACAACATTCATGCTCCACTGGATCTGAAGGGAAATAGAGGTTATGGTCCGAGTGTGTTTCCGTATCGTAATAAATGATATTTACGATACGAAAGTTTTTCATAAAACGCGTATGAAAACAATATATATGTGAACATCATATAGTGCCAAATGCTTTACAGGCATGTTTGTCTTCATAAACACATGGGGCCACCCCTATCTAAACGTTTTGGAAACATCACACACTTATTTATTGATCCCGCATTTCGACGAAGTATGGAGTCTTAAAGTTCTTCCTGTTAGGTAACCATATTTGCATATTTATCGAATCGTGATAACCACTTTTATCGGATTGGTTTATTGTATTGATAACACGGTCCATTACATGACAAAGCAGTTTTATCAAAGGTTTGAAAAGGTTTTTTTAAAGCAACTTTTTGCAAGAGAAAAGGTTGATTCATAATATCCATTATATATAGTCTTATACGGATATTACGAACTTTTGGGGACTCATGAAATCAGTTCGTTATATCCGAACTTCACTATTCACATGAACGGGAAGCTAATAACCTTTCCCCAGAAGGAGAGGGTTTCGCTGTGGTCGACTATATTCGACTTCGTGTTAACTGTAGGATTAGCTGTGGTCGACTATATTCGACTTCGTGTAAGTTGGTTGTTTATATTGCGGTATTGAACGGGTTTCAATTTTGGTTGATGCTAGACATTGAGTAAGCGGCTTATTCCATATATTTTTCAGTCTCTAACCGGTAGCTTGCTTATCATGGAAGCTTTTTATTTTAAGCGATAGCCGGATAGCGCCATATTAAGATATATTTAGTGCTGTATTCTGGTATGTCATCGGCCAGCGGACAGAAAACTCGAGTACAGTAGAACTTGTCATTGCCCTGTCCACTTTTCGAGACAAATGCTGAACAATGAAATTACAACCTACTCCGGATATTACGAACTCTTGCCAGAGGATCAGTTCGTGACATGCCGTATTCGATATTCATCCTTGACCTTAAAGACCACCTCTGAATTTGGTTCGTTATAACTGATTGTACTTTATATCCGGAGTCGGGTGAAGCTACCGTTCAACAGTGTGAGAACGCGAGAACTAGAAGCTGTCGGTGGGGCTTGCTGGTCGAGGGAATGTTGTTTAACGCCGCTTTTAGCACTGTTCTAGCAATAATAAGGTATTTATCGCCAGGAAAAAAATGGGCTTCATACATTGTACTCGTGTGGGGAATCGTCCACGTACTTCGGTGAGAAGAGCGAATGCTTTAACCTCTTGCCCTTCTACCGTTATGCCATCTCACCCACCGACCCGTGAAGATTCCGGGGTAGAATAGGTCTTCAGCAACCCATACTTGCCGTAAAAGGCGACTATGCCTGTCGTAAAAGGCGACTAACGGGATCGGGTGATCAGGCTCGCTAACTTGGTTGATACATGTCATCGATCCCAATTGCGTGGATCGATGCTCATGATGTCAATCACTGGATTGTCTGGTCCAGACTCGATTATTTTACAGACCGCCGTCATATAGCTGGAATATTGCTGAGTGCGGCGCTACACAACAAACAAACAAAACAAACAACATCTCACCCACCACTAAATGCTGACCAGCGCTGTTAGCTCTATACCACATGGTACATGTATGCATTCACCTGCTTAATATTCAGGTTGCGCTGGGAGGGGGAGTAGCCTAGTTGTTAAAGCGTGCGCTAGTCGCGCCGAAACCGAGTTTGATTCCCACATGGGTATAATGTGCGACGCCCTTTCTGATGTCCCCCACCGTGGTATTGCTGGAATATTGCTAAAAGCGGCGTAAAACCATACTCACTCACTCAGGTTGCGCTTGTTTGTTTTGATCAAATCCCAAATATGATATACACAAAGTATAATATACAATCAAGATGTCCTCATATGTCTGGTTCAAATATTGGAAAATATTTAGACATGACTACAGAATTGTCTATGTCATTTCTATACATGTATTCAAATATCAAAATATATGTACTATATCGATATAAAATATTTTTTTTCCGAGGATGTATTACTACAACAATAAATGTTAACATAATTGGTTAATTGGTAGAACGTCAATTCTTCGTTTTACAAATAATTGGTTAACCACAATAGGCACAAATTAATTGGGTTCAACATGTCTGCAGTTACTGTAATGATAGGTAACTTGGGGGTGTATTCCGCTACCAGTTGATGAACGGCGAGTCATGAAGTCAGAAAACAGAAAACTATCAGTATTCAAACGAAGATTTGATAATATTCAACATATCCCACTTTCTTGATAAAGAACTGTAACACGAATAGGACATTTCATCTTCCAGAGGCAGGGGAATTAACTGACTATAAAAGTCCAGTTTCCACTCTTGCCGAACAAGGCTGGTATTATGGAGTTACATTTTGTCTGGACTAACAAGTCTATGCAAAGTCCACTCAAAATCGCGTAACGAAATCGACATCCGGTTCGTAAACAACAGGGATTCAACATGTCGATTTCGGTCGATTGCAAGATTTGCAAAGGATTTGTACCGTCAGCTGGGCGTCGGCAGATATTTTCTTAATCTTTTCAGGTTTTTAATAAAGGTGCTCAAGAGATTTGATGCACTTCGCGAGGTCACACCCGTTCTATTACAATATAGATCTTGATCATCGATCATAATGTCGTGCCTGGGTGCCGCCATTTTGTTTGAAGCAAATGCAAGTTATATGATAGGTGGAATCTGATTGGCCAATAGGGTACACATAGAAGGGACATAACTCGTAATAGCCACTGGTGGCGCTATAATCGAGCCTGGAAATTCCAGCCTTGTTCGGCAAGGATGGAAACTCGACTTTTATAGTCAGTTAACTCCCTTGCCTCGGGAAGATGAGAACATTTCTACTGGCAGATCATAAAGACTTCGAGATATGCAATGTTCTTGATAAACGAAGATATATTAACATTCAATATATCCCACTTTCTTGATAAAAATCATTGTAACACGAATAGAGATATTTTACTGTCAGATCATAAAGACTTCGAGAAATGCACTTTTCGTGATAACAGTATATCGGTATAACAGTGTTCGAGAGACGGTCATAGTCTAACCTTGAACATGATGAACTATTGTGTCAGTCGACAATATATGACAAATATCACAGTTATACAATAAACATGTTAAAGATTTAAATCATAAAAATTTTTTTTTCCATAACAAAGAACATGACGTCAAACATCCATCGGAGCATACAATGTTATGACGTCAATACCAAGCCAGTGACGTCTGATTCTCTTTACATCGGCTTATGACATCATTGCAAGGACCAGGGACGCCAGGACGGTGATAGCTGACACTTGTTTAACCACTGCTGCATCTAGTAACACAAATAATAATAATAATAATAATAATAATAATAAAAAAAATAATAAAAATAAATAAAATAAACATAAAAATAATAAAAATAATAATTACAACAACAACAATAATAACAATAACAACAACAACAATAATAATAACTTAATAGTAATGCCTGATGCCACTAATGTGCTTTTGTTTTTTTGGTGTTCTGTACATACGCTATGGTGAATAAATAAAACGAAATCAGCAGCAGATTCGCTATTTAATACCTGTATATTAAACGACCACAATAAGTAAAAGTAATATCTCATTTAACTGTCTCCAAGTATATGAGAGCAGGGTATCTGACATACAGTAAGCTATTAAGTAGTTTTGAAGACGTAGACCCAACCAGAAACATGTTCTTTATTCAGTAGTGTAGAACAAATTTAAGATGAGTGTGTCAACTCAGGTCAACCTAAGGATGACTAGGGTTATACCTTGGTCAACATGTTTACCCGGATAATCATGGGTTTTGAAATCGAACGAAGCACATGTACAGGTGTGTGTTAAGTTTGTTTATCAGTAGAAGATTTGCTGACGTAAAGTGGAGTCTCTTACTGTCGTAGTTTGGCGTGGGGAAATCGGTTGTGGTTGTAGTTGTGGCTGTGGTTGTGGTGTCAACTGTAGACGTGGGCTGTTGTTTCACCGTTGCCTTCGTTGTTGTTGGTCTTACAGTCGTCGTGGTTGATGTTGTGGTCGTTGCTACAAGATGTGTTATCAGAGGGCATGTAATATACATATATAAAAAAAACGGTGCATCCTCGCGTATCCAGGGTATTATATCGCAATCTATCATAAGAACCCTGGATCTATTCGCAGACATGTCTTCGTTTGAAACGTAATATCACCATCTCCAGCTCTTTTATAAGTAATTTCACACTGAAAGTCTCTCGCACATTAGTGCAATTTGATTGGACATCTATTTAAGCGAATGTCATTCGAATCAGCCTCAGAACCGAACGTGTTTAGCGACTGTGTCCAAAGTTAAGATATAGTTTTGAGATATAATAGACAGGGTAGACGAGGATGAGGCCAAAGTCAAAAAGTGATGAATTGGTAGGAAAATAATTTGATGCTAAATAAATATGATTTATAGATTTTTTTCAATTTGAAAACTGTTTCCTTATTTAAACAACCATCAGATTAACATAAAATTACAGCAAATCATAATGCATTTTACATATTATAACTGAACATATTTTTTTAACATAATACAAACTAATAACAATACTAAGTAGCGGTATATACACTGCTGGACAAAAGAAAGTACAGCTTGAAAACTGGATTTACCCAAAAAACAACAACTGTTATAAAAACGTTACTGGGTAGACAATTGCCGAAATACTGCAAATTAAGGTAAAAAACACAACTATAATTCCCGTATCAAATACATAACCATGGAATAACCAGTTCTTGTTTGTCACCATCAAGGGTGTATACTTTCTTTTGCCCGACAGTTTAAACGTATCCTTATCATGATCATAATTTGTTTCTAACATATTGTCAAATCACCAGTCAAGCACAGAACCTGGGCCATATAAGGTAATACAGAATCATGCCAACGATATAGAAATATCTACTTCATGCATATAAATATTTGTATTGATCAGTATTCATGCAATGCGTATGTCCCTTGCACCATGTATGTGTGTTGTGTTAAGATAGTTGTTTATACCAGTCAAGTTGACGTATGGATATGATACACTGATAATGACGTTGTTTGGGACAGTGGTTAGTTTTAACTCAGTACATCACAAACAAACGACACAACGCCGAACGGTATTTCAGTTACAGTAAACTATGTTTATAACGAACACGGTTATTACGAACTGACGGATATAACGAACCTGCTGTCCCGACTATTTGCTGTAGTTATGCTGTATATATGCATATAGCGAACTACGGCTACACCGAGCTAAAATTAGTGGTCCCTTTGAGTTCGTTATAACCGTAGTTTACTGTATATCAGAGCGTGGGCGAATTTGGGATTCGAACCCACGAGCACTGAATCCTGACACAGCTGATGCAACTTGCAGCATCTCGCAGCGCCTTTGATCATTGGGCCACAACACACAATTACAAGAGTGAGTGAGTGAGTTGGGTTTAACGCCGCTTTTAACAGTATTACAGTTATACAGCGGCGTGTCAGCTTAATGTGGGAGGAAAGCCCGAAGTGATGCAGGTCTCAGACGTTTACCACTTCGGTGAAACCCACGAGAACGGGTATGGTGCTGACAAACCAAGAAACATAATCGGGGCGAACCGGGATTCGAACCCACAATCATTGGTTTTTGGCGTGCCCAAGGGACGCAACTCTGCACAGCGAATCGCGGCGCCTTAGACGACTCGCCCCCAATTACAAGACGGTTATATACCATACATGTTATTTCTAGAACACCAGGCACTGAGTCTGACATTCTGAATACATTAACACGGGTTTTAGCCTCACCCAACCATATTCCACCATATTGGTAACCAGACCTTGTATGAGATGAACGTGACCCATTCCTTTTAGCATGATCTCAACAACAACCTCACATCCAGCACTGCAGGCACATTGGATCTCGTCATTTACCTGAAGACGTTGATGTTTTGTCCGACCTCTTTGTCTCATGGGATGTTGGCTTAGCCGTGTCTTGCCCTGTCGTAGAAGACGTTGTTGGTGGCGATGTAGTCGTCGTACCGTCGGGACTGTTTGAAGTCGACGGTGGAGTCGTACGGGAGGTTAACGTTGTTTGAGACACGGTTGAAGATGTTGATGACGTGCGTGTTGATATTTGCGATGTTGTCATTGACGTTTGTGTTTCTGTAGCAGCCACTGCCACATCGGACGCCCCCGCATAATCGGACTCGGATGGAAACTCAGATTCCAAGATGGCGTTCGGAAACGTTGTACCGGAAGTTGCGTCAGAGTTGTAGAACTCCGACAAATCGGCCGTGTACATAGAGAGGACATCGGATGGATTGTAGAACACTTCAGATGGCGTGATGGGGTATTCGGAATACTCGGACATATCGAGGTCCGAAATAGCCATACTGGACATGACTGGAGTTGCTAAGACGCTTACGGTGAAAAGAGCTGAAAAGTGAGTGAGTGAGTGAATATGATTTTACGCCGCTTTTAACAATATACCAACCATGTCATTGTTAGGTGACACCAGGAATGGGTTTCACACATTGTGCTTTATTGGGAATTAAACCCGGATTTTCAGTGTGTCCAGCAAGTGCCTGACCCATCAGGCTACCCCCAAGGACCCAGATGTTGATAAAGGGTATGCAGCTTGACCACGTCGGTGTTATCTCTGTGTTAACACCGAGCGGCGTTACTAAATTGTATTATCCTACAATTTGTTTAATTCAAGATATTAGTATTGTAGAACATGCTATACTGTGATATGCAATGCTGATGTTAGTTTTCATCACAGATGAGTATGTTGTGTGTTAGTATATGTCGTCGACCTTGAATACAGAAGTGGATCATCCACTGCTTTTGATGCTAACAGGATGAAGCATATATTCAATCATGATATAAATGTTTTTTTCAGTTGTATAACAATCCTATATTGGTACTAAACTGTTATATAAATATACTTGGGGATATCACGCAGCTCTAATACAAACTGGTTTAATATACAAGGTTTGAGTCAGATCTTGATTAGATATTACATTCAAATGATTACTGATTCATATATACCGTCTTCCCGAGTCAAGGGAATTAACTGGCTAATCCAGTTTCCACCCTTGCCGAACTGGACTGGAATTTCTGAATTGTGTTTTGGCTGGACTGATGAGTCTATGCATAGTCCAATCAAAATCGTGCAACGAAATCGACATCCGGTTCGTAAACAACATGGCGACTACCGTACAGATTTCGGTCGATTGCAGGATTTACAAAACATGTGTACCGTCAACTGGGCGTAAACGGATATTTTTCAAAACTTTTCATGTTTTTTTTATCAAGGTGCTCACGTGTTTTGGTGCACTTCGTGAAGTAAGACCCGTTTTATTACAATATAGATCTTGATTATAGATCTCATCGTCTTCACTGGGCGCCGCCATGTTGTTTGAAGCAAATACACGTGGAATGAGAGGCGGAATCTGATTGGTCAATAGGAGGGACATAGAAGGTGCATAACTCGTAATAGCCACTGGTGGCGCTACGATCGAGCCCGAAATTTCAGCCTAGTTCGCAAGGGTGGAAACTACATTTCTAGAATCAGTTAACCGGCTTTGCCTCGGGAAGATGCATATATGCCTGCAAGGCAGTGATGTAGAATTCGGCACAGAGTTTTCAACTTAAATGATACTAATTCAACACTTGTTCCTGGACACAAGCAATCTTTGCTGTGTTGTCATAGTTACGAGGGAGTGAGCGAATATTGTTTTTACGTCTCGGTCAGCACTATTCCAGCTATATCACGACAGTCCGAAAACAATCGAGTCTGGGCCAAGCAAACGAATGGTTGATATTATGAGCAACGGACCACGACGTCCGGGCACGAAAGCACGTCACTGAGCCTCGCTACCGTACAGGCACGATGACACACAATCGGTCAGGGCACACATTTTAACCACCCAATCCTCGTCAGTCGGCTCTTTCGCTATACACTTCCTTGAACTAGGGCATCAGGTTTTAAGAGTGCCAAATATATTTTCAGTGAAAGTTGGTGTTTTTGGTGACACGTGTTGGCATGTATGTAAATAGAAGATGGACTAGCCGACAGAAGTACGACAATCATGCATAAAAGAGTCTTCTCAAGCGAGCATAGATGCTATGCTAATTGAACATCATCACTAACAGAGTGCTATGCTCTAGACGCTACAGTAGATATCTACAACGTTAAGAGGGCATGCCACTAAGCTAGTGTATAGAAGGAGGGCAATACCTGGTGCTGGCGCTGTAATAGAAAACAGGTATTTGATATTTGATAATAACGTACATAATTATATGGGTCGTAGCTAATACTCAAATTCGAATTTAATTTTAAAAGCTGACATGCATGAAGGAGTACACTTAAAGTAAACATTGTGTTAATTGTGATACACGAAGATCCAGATAAACAAACGATTACATTAATATTTTGTTTAAATTATTCAAATTGAGTGAAATAATATTTTTACAAAATATTGATTTGAATTTATTATATTTTGAGATAAGATCCCCCAAAAGCTGAACTTACTTGTGGTCGCTGTGACTGTGGTACAAACAAGATCAGCTGAAATAGACAGAGAGACAGTGTAACAGAGGTGTGGCTTACCCTGTATATCTTGTTGGTTGGGATAATGTATGCACTCGCTTCAAAGTACGTACTATATCCGTATGTGCTTATGTTACATGCATTACTCGCATTTGTTACATACATGACTAAACATTTGTTACATACACTACTAACATATGTTACATTATTCGCATCTGTTCCAGACATTACTCGCATCTGTTACAGTATTACTCGCATCTGTTACATGCATTATTCGCATCTGTTACAGCATTACTCGCATCTGTTACATACATTACTCGCATCTGTTACATACATTACTCGCATCAGTTACAGTATTACTCGCATCTGTTACAAACATTACTCGCACCTGTTACAGGCATTACTCGCATCTGTTACAGGCATTACTCGCGTCTGTTACATGCATTACTCGCATCTGTTACAGGCATTACTCGCATCTGTTACATGCATTACTCGCATCTGTTACAGCATTACTCGCATCTGTTACAGCATTACTCGCATCTGTTACAGCATCACTCGCATCTGTTACAGGCATTACTCGCATCTGTTACAGGCATTACTCGCATCTGTTACAGGCATTACTCGCATCTGTTACAGGCATTACTCGCATCTGTTACAGCATTACTCGCATATGTTACAGCATTACTCACGTCTGTTACAGGCATACGGACACTGGTTGAAGGTGTTGGTGGTGTTCTGGATGGACTGGACAATCTCCGTCTGTTCTGCGCCCACACAGGTCGTAGTGTTCAGCTCCATGCACTCCACGAAGCCGTCAAACTCTCTAGAAGCAGCAGTAAAATCACTCACATCAACTCACGCTAACAAGCATGTCTTTGCCGCTGTTTGCATCTAAAGCTTTTCCATTGCTTTTATGATTTATATGATTTAAGATTAATTCAGAACGACAACACTTGAAATAAAATATGTACAATCGAAATGATAACGAGAATACACATAGTGTTAGTCAAACAGTGTTTTCTGTAAAGTTTGTGAACTTCAGGGCAGGATTGTACGAAAACAAATCAAACTAAATTATTTTCAAAACATAAAATTTATTCGACTCAGCAATAAATTAACTAAATTAAATTAAGTTTTTGTATAGCACATTTTTTAATACAGACTGAACAAATGGGCCTAGATCATGATTGATCTAGTCAAAGGCTGTCTGGAAGAGACAGGTTTTGAGTGTCTTTTCAAAGTTTGTCAGATTTTCTGTTTCTCGGATTTCTTGTGGCAGGCTGTTCCATAACAATGGGCCAGCATGATGAAATGACCTATCGTCACATGTTTTGGTACGTGACTTTGGCACCACTGACAGATGTTGATCTTTTGATCGAAGAGAACGTGCATACTGGTATGGTACTATCAGTTCCTTAAGTATGCAGGAGTCAAACACCATGGTAACCAGATAAGAAAATTGGAAGGAGCTCAAAAGTTTTATTTTATTCCACATTTGTGAAAGTTGGATTCTGGGATCCGTTAACCAAACTGTGAATAAAACCTGTCAAACAAGGAGCACATATAGTGATGACAGCTCATGTTTACAATCGAGGGCAAAATCAGCAATAACTGGAAGCGTCCGTAAAATCTCACTTGCACGCCTCTGTCGCATTGTCCTTTAGTTCCTCTGCGGCATATTTGAAAAAGGCACATTGCGTCACCTGCTGGCTGCAGTTGCCGTACTCGAACGTTTCCGCGAAATCTAGGAACAAAATAATTCAAAACGTTACGTATCCCTTGATCAATACAACATATAAAATAAAAAAAATCTAATGTGAACTGAGAAACCAACGAAAATATCATTGAAATCAGATAAGCTGTTTGTTTGTTTGTTTGTTGTTTAACGCCGCACTCAGCAATAGTCCAGCTATATGACGGCAGTCTGTAAATAATCGAGTCTGGACCAGACAATCCAGTAGTTGATATCATGAGCATTGATCAACGCAATTTGGATCGATGACATGCATCAACCAAGTCAGCGAGCCTGACCACCCGATCCCGTTAGTCGCCTCTTACGATAAGCATAGTCGCCTTTGAAGGCAAGCATGGGTTGCTGAAGACCTATTCTACCCCGGTATTCACGGGTCTTTACGCATTAACTATTCATTTAACAACTAAACTGGCGATATTCGAGGGTAGATTGATAAGTTCTGGGCCTTACATTGAAGGAATTGTTGTTTATTAAAATCTTTTGACGTGGGCATTACATAATGTATATCCACACAAACTTTAGTCAGAAGAGCAAATTGTCCGCTGTGACGTAATGCTTTCTTTGGGAGGCTCGGAAGTTATCAACCCTCGTATATCGTGATAGTTATATTCCTATATGTCTATATGGTTTATATGACTTCTCATGACTCATAAATGTATATCGGTTTGATATGGGAAACTAGTGAGTGAGTCGGGTTTTTCGCCCCTGGTAACAGTATTCCAGTTATATCACGTGTTAGCTTAATGTGGGAGGAAAGTGATGCAGGTCTCAGACGTTTACCACTCTGGTGAAACCCACGAGCACGGGTATGGTGCTGACAAACCTAGAAACAAAATCGGGGCGAACCGGAATTCGAACCCACAATCATAGGCTTCTGGCGTGCCCAATGAGCTTAACTCTTCACAGCGAACCGCGGCGCCTTAGACGACTTGGCCACACGTGCCCCCGTATTGGGAAACTATTGATGCCAGAAAACCAAAGTGGAATACAAAATTAAATCATCTTCAACTTGTAGGAATGCGGTATCATAGGAACGCAAAATAAATGCTGAGATTGCATAGGCCAGAGGAGACATCGAAATAGGAATAGCTCCATACAACAGATAATTGTGCAAATTACACTATCACTGCCATTGTCGTTAAACTGTTGCTTGACTTGTGGAATGCGAAAATAGCACCACTGGAAGCGCTCATAAAATCACCAAGATCACCTAACCACAGAATCTAAAAAATGGGTGATTATTGAAACTACAAACCGGATTTTTCGAAGCGAGATTAAGCTGAGTATATTCCATAATTAACAGTTATAATTATCTGGTACTATAACATATATTAATTATGTAATTACAGTACTGTTGATTTAAAAGTATCTTGACAATGATTCATTAACGCATGCTCGCGATGTAGTCGGAATCGTACAATCGACTGTTTTTGGCAGAGATTTCTCATGGGCATGGAAAAGGGTTTTGTCGCTTGTATTTATTATTGATAGCTGTGATCTCCGAACTTGACTACCATGGTTGACAGCCGTGGCAATAGTAAGCCTAGAACCTACTTAGTGTGCAGCCATAGGGAGGATTGGTGTAGATTCCTATCAACTGGTCAATGGCGCTTCTCAGCGTGTTCTTCGTAATGACGTCACAAGGAGCTAGAACTGTGTTGACGCACGTCATGAATTCATCCACAATGCTGTTGAACAAAGGAGAATCACAGATACATATATGAAGATAAAAGCATGAGACAAGATTTGTTTGTTTGTTTGTTTTTACGCCACAATCAGCAATATTCCATCTATATGACGGCGGTCTGTAATAATCAGACGAACCCGTGATTGGCATCACGAGCATCAACTCGGACACGATGACATGAATTAACCAAGTCGGCGAGCCTCACCACCTGATCCCGTTAGTCGCCTCTTACCACAAGCATGGGTTGCTGAAGACCAGTTCTAATTAATCCGGATCTTCACTGGGGTAACTCCTCTTTGAATCGAATTGACGTTATATCATGGCGTGACAGGTTAATATGGGAGTACGGTTTGACGTGATGCAGATCTTAGATGTTTATAGTTGGTGGAAAGGCCACATTTGGTTGACTCGGTTCGAATCTCCGAAACTTTCTCCGAGAAAGCTGGCATATTATTAAAAGCGACGTAACAATTATACTATCTCAAACAATTCCTACTAATCCTACCTGAGCAGACGCATTTTTACACTGTCACACAGACATTACTACACATGTATAAAACTATTATACCTGCATATAGCGGAGAGGTTGAAGCCGGATTGAGACTGTACTTGCTGCGCTAATGAAAACTCCGCCGTGCAGCCGTTCACATCTTGTTCACATCTTTGCGCCGTCTGTTGGCCGGTTATGATAAGGGGGAATAATCCTGCAAAGGACAAAGGTTATTAGAATTGTCTCCCTTCCATCTCATTCGTGACCAACTCGTGTTATTCCGGGACAAGCCGAATAGCGACTCGTGCCCCTCTCATGGCCATTTTTGCGACCGGGTTCAGTCTTAGCGCAAACGGGCATACCTAAAACAATTGTCAACTGGTTGACATGTATTTCCCCATATATTATATATATTTCAGGTGCAATTTAAAGCACATCGGGACATGCGGAATTATACAGTATGATTGAACACATGTAACTGTGTCGTGGGTATATTTATAGATGCAAGACATAAGTAAAATCAAAAATTCTTTGACGAAGAACTTGAAATCATGCGCGCATTCTGATTGGTTTGTCGTATTTTCGCACATAACATTCATCGATAGGGGGACGAGTCTTCTTGCAGGTTACGGAAAGGGGCGAGTGGTGACGAATGCCTTCCATCTATATATTTTGGAAGTGCCGATCGGGCATTGGTAGAAAGTCATCCACCCCTCCTTCCATCCATCCATCCATCCATCCACCCATCCATCCATCCATCATTCATCCATCCATCCATCCATCCATCATTCAAATGGATTCCTGTTAAAAGTTGCATCACTCAAACTGGCCCCCAAAAAGTTGGAATAAAATAAAACGGATTCAGCTTTCTATTGGCGAAAGCAAAGGTCATCAGTGTTATCGGCTTTCATTGCAAATGAAGTTACTGCTTATCCTGTCAATTACGTACACATAGTATGGCATTAATGAGAGTTTGGGATTATCTGTCACTGTACTGTAGACAGCATAAAAGTGATATGAAAATAATAATTGTTTCATTCTGGTTCGACAACTCAAATAAACACGATTTATACTTTAGTAGCTTTAACATGTTGAACAAAACAAGTTAAATATGTTATTCAACTTGTTTAAAAATAAAATAAAATCGTAATTATGCCAATGGGTTTGTATCATATACATGCTAGTATTTAACCTGTAATCTTTCCAAGAAACTTTATCCTTTTCTTTACAAAATTAGTTTTGGCGGAGCGTAAGTTGTATTTTCTCAGTGTGGCGTGAAACGTTACCCTTGCCCTCAAGGTCGTCTTAAACATTTAATAAAAAAATGTAATTTTATTGAATTTGAAAGTATTAGAACGTACACTGCTAGATTCTGTAAGAAACGGAGAATACATTTCCCATGCATAGTCAGTGAATTGCCAATGTTCCTTTTGACATAATCAAAATTATTGGAAACCAAAAAGGAAGTAAGACGTTTTACCAATCCCTACTAAATAATGTTTTTCTTATGGCCAAGAAGTGTGGGAAAAAATAATGGGTAAGAAATATGAAGAAACTGATTGGATTACTGTAAATCTTATGGCATATAGATGCACCACAAGTGTAAACATGAGATGGTTAAGTGCAAAATGATACAACGTATCATGACAACAAATATGTTCTTATACAAGATAAAATATATCGACTCTCCATCCTGCACCTTTTGCGAGAGTTCAGATAAAACAAGTATGCATTTATTATGTGAATGCAAATATGTTGGAGACATGTCAGTATGGCTTATCATTAGCGAAGGAAAAATAAGGTTTACTCAGGAAAATATAATATTTGGCTTTAAAGGTAAAAATAATAATCCTTTGAATACTATAGTTTTGTAGCAAAACAATTTACATACAAAATGAGTAGACAAAAAGAAAAGACCACTCATTAGACAAATTCAAAGAGAAATTTTAGAATTCTATCGAATACTCTGCAATGTATATGACACTTATGGCTGTATATATACATGTATATGGGAAATTAAAAAAATTCAAATTGATATGAAATAATAACTGTTTCATTCTGGTTAAAAAACTCACGATTTATAATTTAGTAGCTTTAAAATTAAAAATGTTGAACAAAACAAGTTGAATATGTTAATCAAATCGTAAATATGCCAATGGGTTTATATCACATACATATTTAACCTGAAATGCTTCCAAGAAAATTTTATCCTTTTCTTTACAAATTGGTTTTGGCGGAGCGTAAGTTGTATTTTCTCAGTGTCATGTCAGACGTTACCCTTGCCCTCAAGGTCGCCTTAAAGATTTAATATAAAATGTAATTTTATTGAATTTAAAAGTATTAGAACATCCACTGCTAGATACTGTAAGAAACGAAGAATACCTTCCCATGCATAGTCAGTGAATACCCCAATCTTCCTTTTGACATAATTAACATTATTGGAAACCAAAAAGAAAGAAAGATGTTTTACCATGCCTACTAAATAATGTTTTTGTTCAAAGTCATGGCCAAGAAGTGTGGGTAAACAATGGGTAAGAAATATGAAAAAACTGATTGGATTACTGTAAATGAGATGGTTGAGTGCAAAATAATACAACAGATCATGCCAACAAATATGTGCTTATACAAGATAAAATATATGGACTCTCAATCATGCAAAATGCATTTATTATGAGAATATGTTCAAAATATATGGAAAGAAAAGTCAGTATGGCTAAATACCATTGGTGAAGGATAAATAAGGTTTACTCAGGAAAATATTATATTTGGCTTTAAAGGTAAAAATAATAATCCGTTGAATACTATAGTTTTGTAGCAAAACAATTTACATACAAAATGAGTAGAAAAAAGAAGAGACCACTCTTTAGACAAATTCAAAGAGAAATTTTAGTATTCTATCGAATACTCTGCGATGTACATGACACTTATTGCTGTATATGTACATGTATATGGGAAATTGAAAAAAATAATTGATATGAAATAATTACTGTTTCATTCTGGTTCAACTTTAGCTTTAGTAGCTTTAAAATTAAAAAAAATGTTGAACAAAACAAGTTGAATATGTTATTTAATTTGCTTTTTTAAAAATCAAATCGTAAATATGCCAATGGGTTTATTCATATACATATTTAACCTGTAATACTTCCAAGAAAACTTTATCCTTTTCTTCACAAAATTAGTTTTGGCAGAGTTAAGTTGTGTTATCTCAGTGTGGCGTCAGACGTTACCCTTGCCCTCAAGGTCGTCTTAAACATGACCTGATCATCTCTTGTGTTCCCTCCCCCGATCACCACTCTGCCGTCCCCCCACGGACCGCCAGCTGCCCCGGGAGCCGCGGAGATCCCCGCGCACCTTGCGTCCGTCCCACTGCCCGCCACGTGTACACGGAGATTGAGGGCCAGACGTAATCAACGACTGCGCATACAATACCGGCGTGTCAATATGCGCATGACGGCAATTGGGACGCATGCGTTAAGAGGCGTTAGGAAGCTTGATGGAAATACAAATACTTCGTTTGCTTTTCTTGTCCCTGTGTTCAACGCCATTACATAAGGAAAGGAAACGTCCGTGCATTTGTTTCGTGCCGTGATAAATACTACTCAACTTTGACAGGCATAATCTGATATGTCATTCCATTTAAATATAATTTAACCTTATCAAAGTGGAGCTGTATTTATCAGATCAGTCGTGGGGGGGCAACAAGGCTAATGTTAAATTTTTCCTGAACTCTTGGGCCGTTTATGTTTGATTTTATTTGTAACAAATATTGGTTATTTATTTATTATACTTTTTATAAGATATGTATGTATGTATGTATGTATGTATGTATGTATGTATGTATGTATGTATGTATGTATGTATGTATGTATGTATGTATGTATGTATGTATGTATGTATGTATGTATGTATGTATGTATGTATGTATGTATGTATGGAGTCCTTACCATTTCCTTTCCAGTGAGTGAGTTGGGTTTAACGCCGCTTTTAACAGTATTCCAGTTATATCACGGCGTTTCAGCTTAATGTGGGAGGAAAGCCCGAAGTGACGCAGGTCTCAGACGTTTACCACTTCGGTGAAACCCACGAGCACGGGTATGGTGCTGAAAAACCTAGAAACATAATCGGGGCGAACCGGCATTCGAACCCACAATCATAGGTTTCTGGCTTGCCAAAGGGACACAACTATGCACAGCGAATCTCGGCGCCTTAGACGACTGGGCCACCCGTGCCCCCTATGAATACACTGTAACACATGTGTTCAGAATGTAAACACATAAAGCGTGTTTAGATCTAAACATGTTTAGGGATGTGTTTAAATTCTAAACGGAATACATATTTGTTGTGTTCTATCTAAACACGTTTTGGGTCTACACACATGAAATAAGGTATCGTTTCACCGCCTAAACACAACATCCCCATGAACTAAACATGTTTACGACAAAACATCTTTGTGTATTATCCTCATAACCTAAACATGCTTAAAATATAAACACGTTTAAATAAAGTGCATAGCATTGGGCATTTAGCCAATGTGGATAAGATGAATAATATACATACAGTAAACTACGTTTATAACGAACACGCTTATAACGAACTGACGGATATAACGAACTGTTTTTGGTACCTTCCATTTGCAGTATATATGCTGTATATATCCGTATAACGAGCTATGGTTATAACGAACAAAACTTAGGGGTCCATTTGAGTTCGTTTTATCCGTATTTGTATAGTTTATATATTGAAATTTGATTCAGATTCACAGGCACTTGCATAACACATATACCCTAGGACTTCAAACGAACTTGGTACAATTAATATAAAAATATAAAAATAAACAAAAGTACAATTTTGACAAGATGGTGATGTCAACAATCTGGGTAGGGGTGGTACGGGCCTTTCCCACCTTCAGACCCTAAACTAACGCCTCAACTTGTGGGACAAGGAACGCACTTAGGCTTGTGTTTGGGATCCAGACATATTGTTTACAGCGTGGAGATGGTTTTGCCGCTCTTAGTTATCATGGAACATGACAATCTGACTGTCTTCAGGTGTAGGTAAACGGAGTGTGGAAAAAGCTCATTTTGCGCAGGATGTAGGTAAAGGAAGAACAAACAAGGGGAAAAATTCATCTTGAGTCACAGACTTGCTCATGTTGCAAGATTGCCCTTGGAGTTTGAAAAATCGATTTCATTCCAGCCGTACGTGTTACAGTGT